GATGATGTATTTTTTTGTCTTTTTTAATAAAAAAAAATTGACATAGTTACAGAGTACAGCCTCCCCATCCTGCAGCCTGGCCTGGCGTTTGTGAAAGCAAACCAAAGTTAGATCAAACCCAGCTTTTTCCTCCTGGATTACTGAATTTTAATTTAATTAAAATATGCCTTTGCCCATTTTTTTTCCCGCAAAACTGTAGTCAGTACAAAATTCTAGTTACCTCTGTATCCACATTTTTAGTTATCTCTSTATCCTTTGTATCAGCCACTGATCATATTGGTCAAGTAAAGAAAATAAAGCAGAAAATTAAATGTGTAATTTTATTTGTTTGCACTTTTGTGGAATGATTTACTTCCATCAATAACAATTACTTATGGGCATATGACTTTAGGTTTGTGTAAATGTCTTGACTTTGATTTAAAAAGAACATTTTAAACTTTCTTTCCATTTTAAAGGTCATGCTACCATTGGATCATTGGCAATGGGCTTTTAAAACCACTCCGAAGCTCAATTAGTTGCACCTGGTGGGACTTCAGGTGTAGCTGCTGTTGGACAAAAGCAGAGGGTTTTTTTGGTGGCACTTCACCTAATGTTAAATGGAATCAAAAGCTGATGAAACCTTACCTACACCTCCTCCTTTCCTTTCATCAGGTAAAAACTGACTGAAACGTCTCACTTGTTTGCTTGATTGGATAAAGAAGTTGCTGAAGCTAAAATGTCTAGAAACTGTTTCCAGGAGGGACCGTCTCAGAGCACGGCGTGAGAACATCCCTCATCAACTCACCTGTCAGCTCTCCACCACCTCCTCTCTCATCACTACCAGGTGAAGTTTACCTGTAATCTGTAATCATTTGTCATTAATGATCTGATTGTTAGTGGGTTTTTCTGTCCTCTTGAGGGATTTTTGTTTATCCAATCTGAACATGAGTTGACATTTTACCAGATTTTTTGGTTTGTTTCCTGTAAAACAAGTCTAGAGATTAAAGGCCTGCTACTGCATTTCATGCCAGGGTGTGAAACTCAGTTAGTCATATTGCTAAATCTTGAGTGACCTCTTGTCACTTGAAGTATGTGTTGAGGGTGACTGTCAGCTACCACCAGACCAAATTTAGCTCAGTATCTGTAAAACTGAGCTTTAGCCATTTTTGTGTTCGCAAGTGTGGATTAGCTGTGGCAGCCATCTTTTATTAGGGTTTCTCCAATAGTATTTGTGACATCCACTCCTTACAAATGCAAATGGTAGTTTAAAAAAACCAAAAACATCTCTAACATTTAAGAAATTTGGCAGATTTCTTGCGGTCCGGAGAGTTTTCTTTTAATTGCACCAAGCTGCCGCTGGATGGAAACGTTAAAACAAATTTGAGCTTCTTTTCTTTGTCTGTGGCACTGTTGTTTAATGTCATATTTCCCACCACGCTTCAGTTTAGGAGTAAAACATGTTTTTTTTATTGAAGTACAGTGTTGAAGTTAATTATGTATTCTTTCCAGAAGAGGGTGGGAAGAGGGATTTTGGAAGACGTTCGGGCGTTTATTTTGTCAGCTCTCCACCACCTTCTGTCTTCTCCCCACTGCCAGGTGCATGTTAACATTTATCTAATAAAGACAATTCTATGCTCATAGCATCTTTTTTGTGTCATAACATCTTTTTTATGTGTAGAATTTTAGTTTGCCTGATTAAATGTTGAAATATATGAAGAGCCATTTCATTCAAACTGAAATAAACATATTGTCATTGAAGTAATAATAAATATTTAATCAAATAAAAAATGTCCCCATAAAAGAAAACAATCAATATATTAAAATACCTTTTTAGCATGTCTAATTTTTCTTGTAAGAAATGATTTAAGAATTCATCAAATATTTTAAATATGAATAAATTTTAAATAAACCCTTAAATACATAAATTATAGACATGCTAAAATGTATTTTAATATATGGAGTTTGTTTTCCTTCATGGAGACATTTATTTGAATATTTATTATTACAGTATTTTTTTTAATTAATTTTGAATCAAACTGCTCTCCAATAGATTTTACTGCTGCTGCACAGTTGAGCTTCCTATTTTGTATTTTTACCAATGTTTATTCTTTCTCCTTAAGAGTTATCTAAAAAGAGTTGCTCCCTTTACACTTGCCACTAAAATAAACTATTTTTATTTTTACGTATATTGTCTGTCTAAAGCATTGTCACTCATTTTTGTTTTACTGACCTGAAAAATATTGAGATTTTGCTGAAACTGGTATATTYATATCCGCATTATTTCTTTTCAGGAGAGACTGCATCTGTTAACAATGCAAGCGTCTGGGACATCCACTCACCCGGTAACCCTCCACCACTTTCCTCCTTGTCACCACTACAAGGTGAATGCTAAAATTTATCCCTCAGCTGGATCATAACATTTCYTGTTTTATAAAAATATGTAGGAGCGTTTATCACATCCATTTTCTTTACWCACGTTTCAGTGCGGAATCGCAGGGGGAGCTGTTTATCTTTTAATTCAATCTGCTCTTATCATCCTTTTATAGTTTCTAGGCCTGTGATTGTGAGCTATGAGACCAGGCCACTTTACTCTCCAGCACTGGCAACTTGTGCCTCCTGTCAAACCCAAGTCACCACAGAGGTTACCTTCAAAGTCGGGACTTACACCTGGCTCATGTGTCTTCTGTTTGTGTTGTGTGGGTGAGAGACTCATTCAGATTCTTCACACAAGCCAGTGCTAATCAAATCTAATTACAAAAATTAGACTAACTTTTTATGCTTTGTTTKGATCTACAGGTTGTTTCTGGGCTGCTGCTTGATTCCCTTTTTTGTGAACCACTTTAAAGATGCCTACCACACCTGTCCTTCTTGTAAACGTGTTCTACATATCCAGAGGAGGCAATGCTTCAAATGAAAAGTTGGACAACGACAAAAAATAAAATGAAAAATAATAATAATTAAAAATATATATTTAACCAGCTTTTAGTCATGTTTTATATGTAAAAAAATCAATAAACGTTTTCTGGGCTTGTGTATTTTGTTTTTTATCCATCCAGCCATCCATCCATTTTCTGTACACGCTTCTTCCTTTTCAGAGTTGCGTGGGTCACTGGTGCCCATATCCAGCAGTCACAGTGCGAGGGGTGGGGTACACCCTGGACAGGTCGCAAGTCCATCACAGATTTTGTTTTTTTATTTTAGTAAAATAAGAAGCATTTGCTTCAATTTTTAAATTGGATGTGAATGTGCTGAAAAAGAAAAATAATTTGTGAATACAGATACTAAAACAGCTTTTTCTTTTGTTGTTCTGTTAGTTTAAAATTCTTGGGGGGTGGGGGGCTTGCATGTTACACCACCTTTTACTATTTTTAACTAAAATCATCTCATGAGAAGATGTTGAACTATACCAATTTATGTCAAACTTTCTAAATGATGTCCTGCAATTTTGCAAGATGTTCACACATCTCACCAATTTATCTTTAATGTAAAATGAATTTTAGCATTACTTATGTGATGTCTGTTAGCTTTGTTAGCCATTTTGAATTTGGTAGACCCCAAATAGAATAGAAACAGCCTTTATTGTCCTGCAGAGGGGAAATTCAGGTGTAACAGCATCAGTTCACAAAAAAAGTTGTAGTTGTGGGTGAGTCAAAAGACTCAGGGCACTTGCGTATTTCAAAATTAAAAGGGAAAATGAAATGCCTGCATACCCCAGCAAAAATATATTGCAAATGTGATTGTGGCAGTCTCTTTCTGAGACAATTCTGGTCATCTTTGATCTGCTGAATAAACACCTTCCCATTGGAGAAGAAAAAAATGAATTTGATCCAAAATGGTGGCCAATTTCCAGAAGTTCCCTTACCCCGTTACTTGTTGGGGTATTCAGATGTCATTTTCCATTTTATTTATGAAATATAAGGGTGTCCTTAGTCTTTTGACTCAATCTAAACACACAGGACTGCTTCATCAGAGTTTAAGATTATTCATAAATCATTTCGGTTTTGTCTACTTTTGCTAACAGACACAGTTGACTCCAATRGTTACCAGATCTCACACTAGCAGGTAACAWCCATGTGTTATAAATGYCTTTCAGCTACTACCATACCAAATGTTAGCTCAATRTCAGTAAAATTGGMTGAGTATAGCAATTTTTGTGTTTAAAGTCTTTTAGCTGTGACAGCCAATTTGGATCTTATTGACTCCAGAAGTTCATCAGTTCTATACGAACATCTAATGATTACTTTGAAARTTTTATGAAAATCTGTCTGCTGGTTGAGAACCTTTGGATACAAAATGCAATTACAGTTCCTTATTTTCTGCTTCTTGTGCACAATAAACCTCCTCGTCAGCCAGCCTGGATTAAAGTCTGCATGTGCACTTGATGTGTAGTAAACGTGCCCTCACTGATCACACTGAAGGATTACACGCGTTAGTTTATTTTAGTCCTTTGAGCCTGGTGTAAGGAGCATTTAAGATACCTTTTGTTCACCTCTTCTGAGGCCATGCTTAGACACTGACACCACCCTCCCTCCTGCTTGGATAGAAAAGTTCAAGGTGTTTTCTGTTCCTGGGCAGATGATGCTCTAGCTGCCTGATGACCCCTGCATGGCTGAGGATCCTCCAGAACCTCTTTCCTCCCTCAGTAAGCTGGTTTCCTCCGTGGTGCCCTCCTTCTTCTACCGCAAAGCCGAAGTCCTGTCCTACTTGCTTTTGTGCGTTGCTAAAATGCCATTCATACCACAAGTATCCATCGCGYGCTCCGTGCCAGGGCTGACAGGGAAGGAGAGGCTTGGCGACGCCTCATTTCCAAGCAATGTGGCCAAAGCTAAAGTCCAAAGAGACGACAAAGGAAGCTCAGTCAAGGAGAAATTGACGTTAAACTTGAGGCAGCTGGGGAAGAAGAATCAACTCAACAGTCAACTAACATCAGCTAAAGGAGTTTCTGCAGCTCCAAACAAAAGGGACCGCATGCTGCCACCATCGTCACAGTCAGACAGCACTCCCAGCTCGAGCCCAGGAGCRTCTCTGCAGCACATCCATGCAGGCCACAGCTCTGCGAAGAAGACCGAACCGCCGGTGAAGGCCAGAACAAGGACGCAAGAAGAGACCCGTTTTACGCTGACACTCACACCTGAAGCTGTTCTGCTGCTGCAGCGGAGGAACAGCGAGAGACATCAGCGTTGTAGAAACGCCGCAAGTGGAGCAGGGGCTCCTGGAMGGGCCACAGATTCCAGAAGGAGGAGGCAGCAGTCTGCAACTCAAAGGAACGGAGCTTCGACTGGCAGAGTTGGCACCAAGAACCTTCATAATGCTGACCTGGGAGACATCAGCTCCATCGTCAAGATCTCCCTCCTGAACGACAAACACAAGTACGATGAYGTGGAGTACGAGGAGGAGGAGGACTACGGTGTGGACGAGCGCGTGGTGCTGAAGTGCACCGAGTGGCTCCGTGGGTTGGAGAACAAACCGGTAACTGTGGGGAGAAGCCTGAACAGCAGTGGAAACAGTGGGAAAAGTTTCTAAAGGTGAATGTTAAAAAGGGATATGATAGAAAAGTCTTATGTAACGCAGATATGCTGCCAAAACAAGACAACTGTCTTATTTTAATGGATGCAATGAAACAATTCATTTTGATTAAATGGATCCATGATAAGTTGTAACATTAGACTTTATTTGATAAACTTATATTTTACCTGTAAAATAAAGACTGTAAAAAAMTGTTTAGTTTTTATAATTTTTAAACTTAAGGTTTAAAAATATATTACTCGAACGGGGCCATTTTATTTACACGCAAAGCATTCTGGGTAAACGATGAATGAATAGGTCCTTGGTGTGAGTGAGCTATATCCACCCAGAAGGTTAATCTGACGATCGACTCTTAAATGAAACCAGAGAGCGTTGACAGAGAGGAGAAGGTAGAAATGACTCAGCCTGTAACTGAAAATATRGATGGAGGACAACAGAGCTGCACCCATGGGTCAAAACACTATTTTCTAACTAGCTGTAGAACAATCAAGTGCTCAAAATAACAGCTTTACATAACRWGCTGCAAATAAACGTCTCAGAAACAAGCTTAAGAAAATAAATGCTTGTCTTGATGAAACGTAAAAAATTACACATGGAAAACAAAAACATCTGCATTTCATGAAATGCTAAACAGCAACTAGGTTCAGCAAAGAATAAGATTACAGAACGTTCTGGATATGCAGATGACTTAATCCGTTCTACTTTAAAGAGAGAGTTCATGTTTTTTGGAGTGGGGCTCTGTGGAATGGACATGAACAAATAAAATCTTACCTGCTTGCTCTTTATCATKAGAAATACAGCTGAACTCAGACTGAATATACGTTGTTGCCATCCAATATCCCACAGCGGTTTACACTATTTTATAAACATTTTATAACGCTGTCTACAACAAGTGATATATTAATCATATTCCAGATGTCTGCCTTAAAGATTCAAACTACCACTTTGGTTGAAATTAAAGAGGAAACTGTTGTTTGTAAGGCTTTTTGCAGCATGCTGAAATTTTACAACTCAGGACAAATTAATGACTTATGTTTGATGGTGATTTTATTGACAAATATTTCATTTAAATCTGATAATATTTTTTAAAATAATTAAAGAAAATAATCTATATTTTTAGCTGTTTTTTGTGAAAGACTCATAAAGACAAGCTTCATGTCTTTATTTTCTTTCTCTCAGCTAACATTAGCTCGCTCTCAGTAAGGAGCTTTATGACGAAGGCTTGCCTCTCGTTAAAAACTCCCTTGTGCGTAGAGCAAGTGTGTTAAGTAGCAGATTATCAGTCAGAGTCAAATGTTATAACACGTGGGGCTCAGTGTGAGCCTGACACTCCATGTGCACTATAAAAAAAGTAATCCACCTTTTTTATAAAACAARACAACATAGAAAACATCATGATGTAATAGTTTTATCCTCTGTTAAATAAACAAAATAAAGAATGTGTGGTTGTGCACATAAACAGATGGGCAAGATTTACTTCCAGCGTTTGATTCGCAGCAGCTGCACGTAGGCCAGGATCATGCAGACAACAATGATTCCCAGCAGAGCCACCTGGTTCTGCCAGAAGCCCCACGTGGAGTAGTCGATGCCCATGCCCTGCAGGAACACCTCCCCCGGGACACTGCAGCACAGAGGAGAGACCTTTACCATCAAAAAGGCTTTTCAGCGAGTCGAAAAGTGCCTGTGAATAAACTCACATGGTGTTGTTGCTGTAGAACAACCGGCCCTTCATCTCGTTGATGTAAACAGCCTGCGAGGAAAAAAGAGGTCAGGTTGGAGGGAACTCACGGACAGAGCCAGAATCAATTCAGACTCATGAGGCGGAACTGTTTACTCACGTTCAGGCCATAGCTAAATATGCTGACCCATTTCAGCCAGGACAACCAGCTCAGCATGGAGTTGAGATTGACAAGATAACCACCGAAGACCTACAACAGGAGAGAGAAGGAGTTAGACCCAGAATAAAAAACCTCTGCTTCATGTCCTCAAAACTCTAGATCAAAGGTGCCCATGTGGGGCCCAAGCCATTTGATTTGGTCCACCAGCAGATTTTAATACTTTATCAGGGGTTCACAAACTGTTTGGGTCTGGGGACCCCCTTATAAGGGTGAAAAAATTCCAGGGACCCTCTCATAAACCCCATTTCAAACCAAAATTTAAACCCTTAAATGCCATAAGTATGTGATTTTTGTTTGGTTTAGTATGTTTGTTTTACTAGTATGTCTTTCCCTGCATGCAATTATTAAAATAAAAAACAAATTAACAATATATTGATATTTTTTAGGACTCCCTAAATGGCTCGCAGACTCCAGTTTGAGAACCTCTACTTTAAAAGACCACAAAATCTCATATTTTATCAGTTTATGAAACATCCCATGAGTCTTTGCTGCCCAAGCGTACGTCAAACTTTCTCCAAGGGCACATTATAAAAATAAAAAAATACGTGGGCCACTGCTCTGGCTGCTAGCTTAATCATCAAAAAAGGACTGTACTTAAGAAGTATTTACATTTTATATAATATATTATGCAATCTGGCCCACAGCCCTCAGATAGATTTTAATTTTGGCCCTCCCTGGGAAAAAGTTTGGGCACCACTGCTCTAGATGGGTTCTTAAAAGTTGAAATACATCCACAATTTAACAGGATTTGAAAATTTGACCAATTTGGCTATTACAGTAAAACATGTTAATAAATGCAGCTCTATTTTACAGATAATTAGCTGAAATTGGTAGTAGTTGACAGTCATTCCCAACACATACTCTGAACACTGACAGATTGTACAAGATCACATGAAATTGTGCATAATTTTAAAAAAATTACTGAACTCCATCATTTCTCAATAAAAGACAACCTCAGTTTAAAACTGACAGAAAAGGTGCTGGCTGTCACTTCAAGAAATGCTTTGTATTTCCTTTCATCTCACCATCATGAAGACAAAGGGCAAAGCGATGAGGATATTAGCCATCGCAAATGTGGAGACGCTCGCTGAGACAAGGAAGGCCAGACCAACTCCTGCCAGACTGACCAGAGACAGGGTCAGAGCGAAGAGGATGAAGGCCACAAAGTCTGGCTTTAAACCTGAAGAAACACAAGAAACACATAAAAACATCTCAGAGAGATTTCAAAGTGTCACATTCTTTTCATTGTTGCTGTTTATTTGAGTTTGTGATGCAGTTACCCATCATAAAGTAAGCGATGGCTGAAAACACAAATATGGGGATCATGCGGTTTGGGATGAGGTCAGCAAAGATCTTGGACAGGAAGTAAACWGATGTTCGATAATAACCGCTAGAGTTCTCATGACTGCAATGACAATAAACAAAAACACAAACAGAAAAACATAAATATGCACAAAACTATTTATCTAAATTTTTGTTGCTGCTGCACGCGTGTACAATCAAGCGGTCTGCTGCAGATTAAACTTTACTGTATTTCATTCATGTGATCTGAAAAGAAATTACATCAATGAAAAAAACAAAAGACAACATCTCTACAAGACTTGTTCCTTTAAATAAACATTATAATTAATAGACAGAATATAAAMCTTGTAAATGTTTATTCCCATTTATTTTTGAAACACAAAAAATGTGAATATACTGTAAATGTACAATATGTCATTTTTGAAATTCCTGACAAACTTAAAACCCCAAAARACAGAGGCAATTATTTTAGGAAGGTGTCAATTTATAAAAAGCAAAATAAAAACAGCCGGTTTCTTTTAATTAAAGGTGTAAAACCATTACATGAGCAAATGAGTTAGTTACAGAAGTTAAACAGTTGTGTTGTTTTAAACAAAACACAAGTGTATACAGTATAACATGACGTGAATTGACTTATAACCTGAAAATGTCACTTACATGAAAATCACCCTCTCATTGATAAAGAGCTCAACAGCAGAAAGATTCCCAAATACCATGTTGATGATGAGGAAGAAAAAGGCTCCACTCCTGTCAGACAGAGGAAGATGATGGATTATCAGGAACTCCATAAATTTAATAAGAAATGTAAAAAAGATAACAKCTTTTCCTGTCTATATGAAATATGTTTTTATTTCATATTTGTCTTTATTTTACACTGATATTATAGCATTATACAGCGAGTACTACTTGACATCTGTTTAGTGCATTTTTTGTTATCCTCCCATTATTTTTTGTTGATCAGACTTTATATATTTATTTAATTTTCTGTCAACACCTGGCCTACAAGAACTGCCCTGTAAAATTAAAATAAAGCTGTGAAATTAAAAAAAAACTCTGTATTTTGTTATTTCCATTGCATTGAAGTCCCAGTCTTTTACAGTGAAGTTTTGTGGAAAAGTTATGAAGAATAAATATCGTACCTGTTTTGCTGACTTGAGTTTCAAGGAAAACAGTAATCCTTTAGCACACCTTTACAGCACAGAAATTATGTGAATGATATTTTTGAATCTTTACATTTCTGTCAATTTCCCATCACGTGGTTATTTACAGAGAACTCTATTTGCAAGGACTACAGCGGCAGCTAGATGTAGCTTTTTTAGCACWGTTTGAAGACGTTCAAGAGGGAATATCATTGAAATCTGGAATGATTGTGTATATTCAAAATGGTGACAGTATAAAAGTTAAATTAATGTTAATGTGAACTGTTGTGAAAACAAAACTTTTCCATGTCTGTTAAACAAAGTCCAGAAATACATGATCAACAAGGTTCTTCGTTACAATGGTCTCTGAGTAATTTTATTGCAATAAAATTAGAGTCAACATGCATACAGCAATACAAGTTGAGTTTGGAGACACAACCCAGTGAAGCATCTTTTATACCATTAGCAGAAACCAGTCCCAAAACTGGTTATTTCTGACGTGCAAGGAATGGTTCATCTGAGCACCAAAAATTCCTAGTTTCAGTTAAAACTTGTTCTGTGGTCTTTAAACAGAGGAAAACACCTTAGAATGTGGTTATGCATCCTATTTCATTGTCTCTTACATGTTCACATTCCAATAATAGCAAAACAAATAGTTCTGCAATCCAGTTGTGCAGAAACTACCGGTGTGTTTGTGTGAGGTTTAAGCTGGAACAACAAGAAATGACAATTTTTAAGGTGCTCTACCGGAAGTTTGGTGACAATATAAAAGTTAAATTAATGTTAATGTGAACCAGTAAGATTTTTTTTTAAATTGAAGCCAAATACAGATGGTTGCAATCCACTTTGGTCCTAAAATTTGTCATTTGCTCATCAATCTGGTCAGAATTAAACTGTCCAAAGATCTATCTACAGCAGGTAAGATATTAATTGTTCATATTTTTTCCACAGAACCCCATTTCAAACACTTCAGCCCATCTGATGTGGGTATAAACAGAGCCTTTACACTGAGCGAAATCTTTGGGCTGCAGGTTACGTTTCTACCTGTTCTGTAAGGCCTCGGGCAGAGTCAGGGGCATCTGGTAGTAAATGAGTCCCACCAGGATCCCAAAAAAGATGTTGAGAGCTAGCTGGGCGTAAGAGGTCTGAGGGTTCCTTAAAATGTTCAGCACCGTCCTGCCACACACCACCCTCATCTGTTTCACACACATAAAATAATCATCAGTGTCTTTTTATGAATTGGTTCACCCAGCGTACAGCTGAGGACAGTGATATAACAGGTGAATGACTCCGATAAACTCATCTGTTCCTGTTAATCATTAGCTCAGCTGAGATTCACTTATGTGCTGTAAACAAAGGAAATGCAYATCTTTGTCYGAGAAATTTTCAGATATAAACACGTTGACCTGATAGAGGAAGGAGGTGACATAAGCAGGCGCCTGTTCTTCGCCTGCGGCTGCCTCGGTTGCACTCTGCGTCAGGCCCTCGAGCTCCTCCATCACGGTCCGGTACAGCTGGGACCGGCGGTACTGTGTTGCCAGTGAGTTTTTACTGTCTTCTGAATGAAACATTAACCATATTGAAGAAATTTATAGTTAGTACTGATTAAATACAACACAGAGTTAGGGTTTTCTACTTTATACCTTTATAATGTTTGTCATATTTCTTAGAATGTGTTAATTGAAATACAGTAGATACATGTCCGAAAATAACAACACATAATTAAAAGCTGGTTTAACATTAGATTGAGA